AGGATAAGCTTCGTTCGACATGGTCGTCCTATTTTGAGCGGAAATGATGACATTTAAAGCATTATACCTATTTTATTACAAAATACAATTTAATTATTTTGTTAAAGGTATTTATTTCTCTTATTTATTGCATTGCTGACGATTCCATTAGTATTAAAGAAGCGTTCAATGGCCTTCAAAGCTGCATAAGCAAGTACCTAACTTAGTCGACTGTTTACGATGACCAATGTCATACGGTTTCACAGCGAGTGGGCGATGATTTCAAACCTACACACGAAATATTCGATGATGTTGTATTCTCATTATAAGCTAATAAAATATATTTTGAATGATGATGATGATATAACAGAATCAAACACAATCATGACTTACACCTTTCACATGACTTATGAATAGTACGAGAAACTAGATTATCATCTAGCTGTTGTAGTCAAAGCAGATTGAGAAGAGCAACGGACTTTAGATAATGTCGATAGATTGTCTATTGTATGACGATTAGTTCGACTAAATAAAAAGGTAAATTGAGACATTATGGTATATAATCGGGAATCGGAAAGCAAATTGAAAGTTGCAACAGCGTAGCGTAACAATGACAAGCGGAATTTAGTATTGCTTAGTTGCTTTAGGATATTTAAACGCGTCAAAATAAGATTGGCCGATAAAATGCGTAAAATATTGACAGATAGATAATTTGTTAGACAATCAAATGCAATTACTTAGTTATTTTACGAAAAATATTGAAATATAGATTTTAGGCCAGATTGTATAGTCGTTTGCATACATTAAGTTTTTGTAAGTAACCTAGTTACCGAAAATATCTTGTATCTAAAACAAGAACGAATATTAAAAGTTATCATGACTTCACGTACATTAAATGGGGTAAAGTTTAAAATTCTTATATTCAGCAATAATTTTAAATCTCTGACTTTTGGTCGTGTCCAAATCAGCCTTTGAGAATAGGAGCTACGACTAGGATAATATTGAACTGCCGGTTTGCATGGTGTGGGGAAGACGAAGGGGTAGAATATAGGGGAAAAATATTCGAGAACGTCAGACATTGAGAAGGAATGTTACGTGAACTCTCCAGTGGCTCATATTCAAAAGACTGACGACCGACCAAAAGTCATGGCCGTTTGTTAATTTTCTTTGGCTGCTCTAGACGTTCGGCCATACACAGAGAGCTCAGATATGGTGGGAGTATTCCACAGGATGTAAGGTTGCCCTCCACACGCTAATCCGCTGCGCTCGAGAAAATCCAAATGTCCCCGCTTGGGCTCGTACCATTCTTATTTCGATAAAACAGTTCTACAGAAGGATATTTTATAGCTTCTGGATTTTAGGGTTTCGAGTCAACAAAGATCCCTTATGGTCTCTGCAGACGAGGGACTTACGTCCGCGAACTTTTTTGTCCGCCAAAATAGATCGCTTCATCATCATCAGCACAGCACAGCACAGCAAGGGATTTCCATGCATAATGGTGTTGCAGTTTCCGCATCCAGTGGGTTCCCCCGACTCGCTTGATGACGTCAGTCCATCTGGTGAGGGGTCTACCGTCACTGCGCTTCCCAGTGCGAGTTAGTCATTGAAGCACCTTGGGACCCCAACGGCCATCTGTCTGCCGAACTATATACCTCGAGCGACATTGTTACTTCAGCTTTGCGATCCGCTGAGCCATGTTATATGGTGCGGTTATTCTAGCTCTTATACGAATTCATCATTTCTGATTCGATCACGTAGAGAAACACCGGTCACCGAGCATAGCTCTCTCCATCGCTCGCGTTGCGAGCTCTATGAGGGATATAGTCAATAGAGCGCTTACTACTTCAAAAAGTAACGCACACGACGGATTAAAAGTACCGCGTACAAAAACTACCGTGGACACCGAGAGGCTGAACTAGACTAAGGTATAGCAACGCACACATCTAAATTTAGTCCGCTGTGGGTGCTCGATCCGATTTAAAGGAATTGACCCAGCATTCTCTTTTAAAGTCTTATCTTTTTCTTAAACTTAATCACAACAAAAAATCTCGGAATCTTTTTTAGGGTTCCGTACCTCAAAAGGAAAAAAACCGGAACTCTTATATCACTTTGTTGTCCGTCCGTTTGTCAGGAACGCGTGGAGGTATCAAACTGAAATTCATATCTAATATTCATGTCTACTGTCCCTTGGAGCTGTGAAAAAATTAACTTCTAAGCCAAAGCAATTTGGGGGCCTCCGTCGACTCGTAAAGTGCGGCCGTTATTTTTTTATTCATCTACCCATTGACGTTTATCCCTTTTTACGTCAACGCATCTTACCCTATGTAGTGGACATGGGCAACTACGAAATCTTACATTGCGCGTGGCGCCACACGTACTTGGTGAGTTTTTTAGTTATCAAGATTTTGATTATTTTACATAACTTCTAATCAGACGCTTTTGTGTAGGGTAAGTTTTCGGGCTTTTAATTATTAAAGTTATGCGCCAATGGAAAGCAGTTTCTCCTCTGATCTGGCTATCACTTCCTTTATTATCACCAGCCTTATCCTACCTTTTTTTTGCCTGGGAAATGCCTTACGCAACCTTCAACCACTGGGGAAGCGAGAAGAAGGTATGTGGGACCCCTCCCCCCGTAGAAAGCTATTTTACTTTGAGTGACATAGTTTTTAATATTTTATCGCGTAAAATTTATTTCACTCGTGTCAAGCTAGGGCGAGGCGCGCCGCAAGTTTACTAATAGTTCAGTTAAATTTTGAGTACATTTGAAGTATTCAGCTCGATTATTGTATGTATGTTGAGCGAAAAGTGCTTAGTATAATGAGTTGGCTGCTAATGTAGATTGAGCACCTACGCGCTCAATACATATCCCTATACAGTAAACTTCTTTTCAAAATTATCGCTCCATTGGTTACTGCACCTACATGTTTTTCTGTTTTTTTTTAAACTAGAGGAACGAGTCAATACGTATGAACTGAGATAAGTGGGCACTTGCTATTCATAAAATCAGCCGATCGAACGAAAACTAAAGAAATTATTAAGTGGTATGTGGTGGTACCCAGAGCGTATCACGTTCGTAGTCCATCGGGTTTTATTTTTAACGGCCGATCAAATCACTTTATTCCACCTGATGTCAAGTGAGAGAGGAGATGCGAAGGTAGCTAATGCGGTCGCAAAGAAACTTGCAGCTTCACGCTTCAGTCATATTAGCCCAACACCCTTGCCTTTAGAAGATCTATCTGGCAACCTCATTGCAATAATTAAAGCACTCTGAAGTTTACAAGACCGAAAAAGTATTATCACGTTAGTTATCGAACTGCTTGAATTAATAATTATTAATAATAACGGCCCGCTTCGCCTAGTGGTTAGTGATCCACTGCGAATCCGTTTGTGTAATGAACACGTGCATTTTCTTGCATGTTATGGTTCTTTACATTATTTTGATATTTAAGTAGGTCTAAGTTATCCAGTGACCTCTGTCTTTTAAAAGTTCCGCAATTTTTAGAGGGGTATTAGAATACCCCTCTAAATAAATTCGTTAAGACATTGGCGACTAATAGATAATCGAAATATGGTTAGGCTAATAAACTATACCTATTTTGAGAATCAAACTAGGGTTTTTGCGACTATACGAATTCCTATTCGTAAAGTCGCTCCTGAGAAACTACATAAAATTGAACAAATGTACTTTGGCAATAATGTGAATAACTTTAAGATAAGATTTTTTTCAATTAATCTAGGCGAGGTAACGTACATTCCATTATACAAATAGCGCGTGTGTGTGATTGTTCCAATCTTCCAATATTCGCTAAAACGATCTAACTCGGTCAGTAGATTTGCCGAGACGCAATGACGTAATTTCTAGTCTATTGCGCGCCATTGCATATTAACAACCCATAGAAATAAGCGCGATAAAACATCCTCAAGCCAAGCACCATATTTGCTTTAAGACCTCAATGTAATGTTTGAATGTGAACAATGAATATAGAGGTAGGTACTTCAGGGCAATACAGAAATGGCTGCTTTTGCTGGTTTGTTGACATATTCATATTTTTTTGTCATGATAAGAACAACTTATAGGTATATATATGTTGTTTATTGTATGTATGTATGCAAATTATTTTTAGTCTTTTTAATTAAACTTCAAAATAAAAATCCTCTGAGATCTTGGTATTCTTTTTTTTAGATATTTCAATAGGTATTCGGATTCTTTGGATTTTTAAATAAAAAAGATAAGACCAATAAAAATCAATAGGAGGTGAACGACTTATTAAATAAGAACTGTAAAATAAATTGTTACTTACTAAACACACCTACACACATAAAGGAAAGTATAATAAGGGATAATATGTACTTAAGTACTTATTGTCACTATCCAGACTAAAATTAAAACTAAACTTTTAGATTTCTTAAGTATATAAGACAGGAAAGTATATATTCATAAACAGAGTAAACTTATTTAGAACAAATTAATTTAATGCATGAGTTTTTAAAATTAAGAACTAAATACCTATTTGTCATCCTTAAAAGTTGCTTCATAGACACCAAAAATATAATGAATAACACAATATCAAATATAGGAATTATTAAGTTTGTTCACAAATCACGTTCACATTGATCCCTAAAAAGGACCTTCAAATCGCAAATAGCGAACCTGTTTGAATCTTTGCTAATAACTGTATTGCGATCTAATTAACATTAATGTCATCTATACGATCAACTACACAAATATTTAAATAATAATACACAAAACTTACCTTCATTTAACTCCATCTCGATTCCGGCCAAAAAATGAAAAGTTTTTCTAAAATAAAACGTTTCTATGACGACGCATGACAGCAAACTCTAATCGGATTCTCATTGGCTGTCAAAAAAGCTCTTTTGTTTTTTATGCACAGGTTAAAATATTTAATGACACCTATTCACGTTCTTTCTGAAGAATTTTCTACTATCTATGGACTCGATTACTCGACTTACAATGGTCCAACAATAACAGGTGCAGGCACAGCACTATTAACTGACGTAAAAAAAATCGGTGTGGCGATAAGATACGTCGACGTATGTGATTCAAACTTACAATTTTGTGGAAATTTATCGTAGTTTTGATAACTATTATTGTAAATTAAGTCACACAAGTATAGGAAATTCAAAGCAATCATGGGTTTAATGATATCAAGCGTTTTTACAAGACTTTTCGGCAAAAAACAGATGCGTATCCTTATGGGTAAGTGACATGACAGCTCATAGGTTTTCATTGTGTAAATTTTATAAAATTGAACGTTTTTATTGTTTTCTGTAAAAGATTCTGTTAATCTGATGAGATTGTCGCTACAATTAATGGCCTTTTCAGTTGGTCTTGATGCTGCTGGAAAAACTACAATACTTTACAAGTTAAAGTTAGGCGATATAGTCACTACAATACCGACTATTGGGTTCAACGTAGAAACTGTTGAGTACAGAAACATAAGCTTCACGGTATGGGATGTAGGTGGTCAGGATAAAATCAGACCGCTGTGGCGCCACTACTATCAGAATACACAAGGACTTATCTTTGTTGTTGACTCAAGTGACACTAAAAGAATAGCAGAAGCCGAAAATGAATTGGCGAACATGGTAAGTTTCACTATTAGTGACACCTTGCACATATTTTAATTGTATTTTATTTGATACTTACTCATTTGTTTCAGCTAAAAGAAGACGAGTTGAGAGATGCTGTTATTCTAGTGTTTGCAAATAAACAGGACATGCCAAACGCCATGACTGCAGCTGAGCTCACAAACGCTCTTAATTTGAATAATTTACGGAATCGCCGTGTAAGTACTATAGATTGATTTAATTTCAAAACTATTAGTTGTATTTTACCATTAAATTCATTTGATTGGCATATCAGCAGAAGCTCCTTACAGAAGACTAGCCAAATAACAGCATTTACAACCAGTTTGTGGAGTGGTGCCAAAGCACTCCTTCATATATTCTTAGAAGTAGGGATCTGAGCTAGGACTGGCAAGAGTGGCTGAAGCAATATTTCTTGCATATGTTGTCTTCAGAACTGGATTCCACTCCCACTTATCGGCTCTGGTGTTTCCGAGCCTTGTATATAAATATGTATTTTGTATATTTTTCTTTGCAGTGGTACATCCAGGCTACATGTGCAACACAAGGCCAAGGCTTATACGAGGGATTAGATTGGCTTTCAAATGAATTAGCAAAGAAGTGAGACATAACTTTACACACAGTACTGGGAAAATAATTTACATTCCCACAATGACTGAAACAAATTCCAACACATGTGAATTACTACAATGTTTATTGAACCTAAAAGACTAAAAACTTTCATACATATTAAGTTTCAGAAGAACTTGCAACATTTTACATTTAACTTGCTAGTTCAAATGCATATTCCAGTTAAATGCTGTAAATTTTACTGACAGTTGTAATAAGGTTACTTTTCTTTTCTAACAAGCAACAATAGTAAAGGTCTGGCCAAGGTTTAATATACATTAAATAGCAATGAAATCAACTCAGCTAAGTTTTTTTTACCTTTTGTCAGCACATTAAAGAATTAAAATTGTACCATTTTTAAAGCCTATTAACAATAAAATTGATCTTTGCGAAGCCATTTGAAAAAATATTACACAAGGAAGAATGCGGAATGATTTACAAATCCTGACAAATCGTAAGTAGTGGTCTGTGGCAAGACAGGAATTTTGACAAATGGTCTCTCATCACTGAATGGTTAAGAATCACTGTGCTAGATAAATAAATGTAAAGAAAATGATTATGCTAGAAAAATATCCACTCAGTCCAAGTTAGAGGACTGGGATTCGAGCATTGGGCAGATCAGATCTGATCTATCAATGACAATATGATTTTTTGTTTGGAAAAATTAAAGACACTTAGATGAATCGATTTCCTTGCTTTCAAGTGTGTTAATTTAATTACTTCAGGTTGCTTTTAATGAATTCCATTTTATGGTAAATCTCTTTATAGGGTTCATAATATCTATACTGTAAAGTCTCTTGAAATATAGTGCATCTGTAAGGGACTTTCTTTATATTGTTAGTCTATTAAATATTTGCAATTTATCTGTAATAGATATGGTATGTAAAACTACTTTATGTATGAGTAATATCTTGGATGTTTCTTAAACTTTCCTAGCACAACAGGTCCTTACTAACACTTATGTATCAAACAAACAAGATTACTGTGTTAATGACAATAAACAGTTTGGCCAACGCACTATGCTTATCTTAAATTATTACATTTAGTATTGTATTGTTAAAATTATTTAGTTTATAAGTTTGATAATAGCTCTTACTTTTGTTAGTGAAGTTTTATAACCTTTTGTCATGGTGGCATTGCCTTTTTGAAAATGTTCAAATATTCACTTAGTATCATAACAATATTGTGTATGTATATAATAAAGTAAATCCTATCAGCCAAATAATATTTTAATATCATAATGTGACTAGCATATTTCATGCTTTTAATTGATGCTTGTCAGATGCGTTAAGGTTATGATAAATAAAATATAGGTGTAATTAGAAAACCTTTTATTTACCTTTTTGCAAAGAACACTTAACATAATTCAAATAATTTTCGAGTTAAATCAACTTATGACTCCAGTTTGCTTTCCTTTTTTCTACAAAACTCTTTAAACCTTCTTGACCATCATCACTATTAATGTTTTTAACCATAATCTCCTCGCCTAACTCATATGCTTTAAATAGTCCTAATTCTATCTGTTTGTAAAAGAACTGTTTCCCTAATGTGATGACACTGCGACTTTTAACTTTGATCTTTTTGATGATCCCTTCCACTTCTTGGTCTAGTTGGTCTGCTGGAACTACTTTCGTCACTAATCCACTCTCATAGGCTTCTTGGGCGTTGATTGGTTCACCTAGTGTAAACAAAAGTTTTTAAAACATCTGTCATTCATATTCCACAATAATAGTTGGGTGATTAGGTATTTATCTGGAAATCATGGTAAACAGGAATAATTATGTTAAGATTTTTTGACTGACTATAAAGTCATATGGCGCTTTGCAGACGACGGGGCGAGGCGGGCTTTTTGTCCGCGAAGCAATAAAAACCGCGTCTGCCCGTCGATGTCTGCGGCTGCCCTCGCCGCGTACACAATGCACACGACGGGCAGAGGCAGTCAGTTCAGGACGTTCGGTTCGTTCTAGTGTATATTCCATCACTATCAGCGTGGCGCGGACTGAGCTAGCCGCCTCGCGCCGCCGTCTGCGTTACTGCATATAAACTGGTTTGTATGATCCACGGCGGGCAGCTGCGGCGCGGTCTTTTTGCCCTCTGTGTGCGTTTGTAGTATAGGATTCACTTTGTGCTATCGTTCGCGGCGAAATTGACCGGCCCGCTCCGCCCCGCCGTCTGCAAAGCGCCTAAAGGTACAAAATCAGATACATGAGGTAATCAGACCCACCTGTAAATAACATGTATGTAGCTCTTGACTTTGCAACTGTCCGTCCAATGGCTATTCCAGGTGTCGAACAGAAGATTCCAAAATTTGCTCTAAACAGAAAAAACTATGTTTAATTCGTGCAAAATGCATTATTTAATCATAGCATTTAATATATAGCAGTAGTCTATAACGGTATCATATAACCTTGATTTTTAGATATTTTTATTTCAATGATATATATTTTATGAGCTTATCACTAAAGTAAATTAAATAATATATAACCTGTTGTATTTACCCAGGTGTGGAGAATTTACTTGTTTCTGAACTGATGATCATATCGCATGTGGCGACTAGCTGGCAACCTGCAGCAGTCGCTAAACCATTCACCTTTAAAATAGACGAACATTTTAACAGCATAGAAGAATGCCACACAAATCAATTTACAAGTTTTAAATAATCTGTGAAATTTTAATCGAAAATATTCACTAAATTGACTAGTTTCATACTAATGAAAAACATTTTCTGGTCTTTTTAATAAAACAACTGAGTAGTTTCAGAAACTATTAAGGACATCAAGAATAATTTTATAATAAAAATTGTAATGTACAGAAAATTTAGAAGGCCAAATTAATAAAATAAAGTTAATTTTTATTTTTACCTTAGCAATAACAGGCACTGGGCTTTGTACAATAGATTTCATTAATTCAGTACACTCTTTGAATACTAACTTGTGCTCTCCAGTGTTACTGCTTGAATGCTGAAAGATTATAATACGCCAATAATTTAATTGCATAAAATAAGAATCTTTATTTTCCTACAAATTGTTAGGTGTAGGACTAATTCTAATTAATTTAATAGTATCTCTCATGTGGGAAACTAGTCGCAATTTTTTTGTTCTATCAACATAGTACAAAAATCTGCTGACCAACGTCAGCAGATGAGACTTCCTATTGTGGAAGTGTGTAGAAAAAAAAAGTTCGCAAGAAGAAAATTACGCTTACGCGTAACCTACTTTCTACACCCCCATTGTAATCTACTGTGAGCAGGTTACATACAAGAGTAGGGTAACATAAAATATATTATAATAAAATTTATAATACAATATTATATATACATATTACAATATAATATAGCAAGGAAGATCGAGGATTGTGTTACTTGGTACAGCCAGGAGCTATCGGATGGGTAGTTATTTGATCAGAAAATAAGACGCCATTTTGATTATCCAAATTACATGGCACTCGTATCAAAATAATTGTCATAGTAAACCTTAGACCATGGCCGGATTCTAGAGGTGTAGAGGCACTGGGGCAACGAAGATGTGGGGGCCCATATATTACCATATGTTACCTGTCGAAATTTAGTTCATTTTTTGTTGTGAGGGCCACAGCCTTAGATACTGTCAAACTAGCAAGATAGATATGGAGTGCAATTGTCTGTAATACTCACAAACTCCTTCAAATTGTGACCAGCAGAGAAAACATTGCCTTTTGCAGATAAAACTATGGCTCTTAAACTGGTGTCATCTTTGTTTTTGTTTATGGCTTCATTGAGATGTTTCATCATGTCCAAAGATAAAGAGTTTCTAAAATAGATTATTTAAAGTGTTGATGTGTGTCATATCAATAATGTATTGCAGCAGTAAGTGCATAAATATTTATATGATGAAGAAATTAGGTGTTGATTCTGGCATGATTCTCCACCTAAAATTAAATTTGACAACAGTGTATCCTTGTCATACTCTATACATAATGAAAAGGAGAGACTGATGTTAAATTTAGTTTTAGTTAGAGAATCATGCCAGAGTCAACACCATTGTTTTGTCTGTATTGGGACCCTAATAGCTGAATAGTACTTAGGCGAAAAAAAATGAATTCCAAACATTGTCTACTAATGCCTCTTTTATATTCAATTAACTATACATATAGAATAAGCCATATGGTATTTATTTATTTTTTATTTAAATTTCTACCAAACCGGATTTAATTAACTCTGATTATATTGTAATTATTATCCTTACTTGGTTTTCTCATGGCATAATGTAATTTCCCTTGTACCGTCCTTTTCATTTATAGCAATATAATCAGTATGCGCGTAACGACATAGAAACGTAAACGGCCGTGCACATATTCTCTGGAAAAATAAAATAAATCTTTATTAAGTTTTCAATGTAGCTTTGTTATTAAACATACAAGTTTTGTAGGTTATGTAAAAGGAACACAAGAACAAATTAAAAGTCATAAGTGATTATTTTAATAATAACAGATTCTTTTATAGATATGAAAGATAACTATTATCAATTTATTATCTACGAAAAGGTACTAACTCGGATCATGTTATTTGTGTTCTTTAATTTACCGCAATTGATACGTACCTGGAATACCGAAAGCATTTCAGAATTGAATTGATGCAATAATATCAAAATAATTGATTAAAAAAAAACAACTAAATTTAAACAAAAACAAGGTTATAAATAATAACTATTCATAAATAATGTGACATTTTTATCAGCAATGTCAATGTCATTTTGGGGTTGCCACATCAGTAAAAAAAAGTATTACTAAAAAAGCGATAGAATACATACGATATTGGTAACAGCCAATTGGTAAAAAATTAAGAGAAAAGTTTAAATAGTTAAATGTTTTTATTTGTATCAATTAGTTTTCCGAGACATCAGACTCTGATCCGCCATCTATATATTCGACTCGTTCGTCTTCTGCAGTTATTACTGTGATTACAGCGCTACAACAAATAAACATAAGCAGTTACATTTCACTACCCAGTTACTACACAATATTATTTAATGATCATTTTTCGTTTCCATTACACAAGTATCGTTATTTATTCAATTTTGTGTGTAGGTCAACGATATTAAAAACCACGATACACCACGTGCGCACAAAATGGGGCCCAATCAAGAAGTGCTTGAAAACCACTCATGTACTTCTTGATTCACAGTCACACGCGGACCGTTGAAAAGTCAATATGCCACAACCTCCGTAAAAAAAATGCGAAAAAAATACTTATAGTATCTACGTCGAGTGTCGTTCGACAGGTATCTAATCAATGTTTGTCAATTTAACGCATTTGAAGCATTGTTTTAATACTTACTACAATACAGACTGATTTAAAAGAATTATGGTCGGTTATTCGGAGCGTACCGGCTTTATTGATAACAGCGCATTCAGAATTACGTTATAGAAACATAAAAATAGTCTTTTCATCCCACCACCTCGGAAAGTGTAATTTTGCGCTTCGAAATCTGGCTGGAAAATTCTATTTTATTCGCTTGAGCGGCAAAGTAGATTTGAATTTAGAACATCACATATAATGAGTACTCAATATAATTGTAAATTCAAAACGTCATTAAACCTATTTAATGTAACCTCTATGGTGCCAAATTTATGATTAGAACTTTTTAAATTGTGAAAAAATTTAAATTTGGAACCTTCTTGGTTTCTTTGTTTTATTTGCGTGCTTCGCGCCATTCTAGTTTTTCACGTTTTATTGCTTAAATATTTTGTCATTATAAATTGTTTTCTTTTTCATTTTGTCATTTCCTCGCTGAGGTGGGATGAAAAGTTACGTATTGCACTCGAGTGGAAAGATTTTTCACCTTGTGCTCGTTTGTTTCCCTCGCTGACGCTCAGGATTCTAATTTAGAATCACTCGCTGCGCTCGTGATTCAACTTTAGAATCCTTCGCTTGCTCGGTCATCCAAATCGAGCACGCGGTTAAAAAGGAACTTTCCACTCTTGTATAATAAATAACTATTATTCTTCCGCCTCATTGACGTTTAAATAAAGACCATAAATGCATCAATTTTGACTTTGTCTGTTTAAATAATGCCTGTTATTGTTTTTGACTACGCGATCATCACGCAGTTCTATGAATTCGTGGCCCAATGTAACTTTTGGACTGGTTTCGGCCACGATTTTGTTTGTGATGCTGTATTTAGGGTTTTAAATTCAATAGCTATTGAATTCCATCATTCATTCAGCTTCAAAAAAATATACTACTTCTATATCTTATATAATTAGACGACACATCCTGTAAAGGATGTGAAACGTCAATAAATAAATAAATCAGTGCATCTATACCGTTGAAACTTGTTTAATTTAATGAGTGGCGTGCGTGAAAACCCAAGAAACAAATAATATACTAAATAAAACTAGTTTTAACGGGTTAATGCACGAAACTTTATTTATTTATTGACGTTTCGCAGCCTTTACAGGATGTGTCGTCTAATTATATAAGATATAGAAGTAGTATATTTTTTTCGGTCATTATTCTGACGAAGCAGACCTGAAAAGGCTGCGAAACGTCAATAAATAAATAAAGTTTCGTGCATTAAACCGTTAAAACTAGTTTTATTTAATGAGTGATGTGCGTAAAAACCTAAGAAACAAATAAATAATATACTACTTCTTATATAGGAAAAAAAATACGAGTCCACAATACTGCCTTATATAAATGACACTAAATAATTTTTGCTCTTTTCTTAACTACTTAATTAGACAGTATTAAAAATAAAATGCCAATTGTTAGCATTTGTGTTTAGAATGAATATTGGCAGCACTATTTTTACAGAAAAAAATATTCATAATTATACTAAAAACCCACGAGAAAGAACAGTTTTCTTATCTATTTTCACGTGACCCAAAACGCTTGGGATTGGCTGAGCCTAAAAAAAGTCACACGCAAGTAAACTTCCGGTTAAATTGACATTACATTGTATCGTTTGACGTTTTAATAACAGTCGTGTGTCGTCACACACCAGTGAGACGCCATATTGTCCAGAGAAACGTTTTCGAGGCAACTTGAAAATGGAGTTTTTGATTTGGTTATTTTAACTGAAATACACAACAGAATGATGAATATCCACTTTTTACCATCTCCATAAACATTAGTAAATAATGTGAGATTGTGTTATAAAACTTGTCAAATACCCTATTGTGAAGGTAAATAGGCTTAAATTGAATTTATCATATTTTTTAAAATAAATGTTTGAATTCGTTTTAAAACATGAAAAAGTTTGTGCAAAATACGATATTATGAAAATAACTTACCTCAAGACTCGTTCTTCGAATTCTGAGTGTTGTGTAGCATGGTTACTGGATACCATAATCTTTGAAGCTAGCACTTGGTCTAACAAGTTACGTAGTTCTAAAAGTAACTCTGCAGTCTCCTTTAGTATTTGAACTTTGTATGTCCATATAGATACGTTGCACATCATCGGGTCTTCTTCACCTTCAAGGAGAATAAGTTCCATAATATAAGACCTTGCTATATAATGAGCTTCTTGTAATATGCATAACGCTCAAAACTATATTTTATACTCAAACGGTATAATTACATAAAATTAAATTTTACAGGAGCTGTATAAAACAGAATGACATACCTACAGTGAGATTATGGCATGGTTTTTAATTTATAAATTTAGTAAATTTAACACTGTTTTAGGTGGTTTCGATTGAGAATTATTTGAGATTCAAATTCAACGGGCCCAAAGCCTCCGGACTGTAAAAAAAAGTAGTTTGACCACATGCGTAATTATACCGTTTTGTTAGCCAGCTCCTCAAATAATACAACACAATTACAGTCTTATGTAAGTACATAAATATCATTAACGTAAATATAAGAAAACTAGCTTGCATCCGCGACTTTTTCTACGTTACTCAAGTTTTTTGAGAATCCCACTGAAACCTTAAATTTTTTTCATATTAAAGTATGCTGTGTCAATCTAGGTGATACATTAAAATATATGCCAAATATAATGCAAATTCGTTCAGCTGTTTTGGCGTGAAAAAAAAACCATTTACATATATACCCATTCAAACATTCACGTTTATATTAGTAGGCAGAATAATAGTTGGATGAAATAAGCATTACAGTAGAAGCTATAAATATAACTCACATTCAGACACCTTCAACTCGCCGAAGAACAGTAGCGGTAACGTATATACCAGGGTGACATCGATCACGAAGAGATCTGACGACTTCTGTTTGAGCCAATACACCAACCAGTTGGCTCCGGGATTTGAGCATAATCTGACTGGTTCTCTACTTTTGGGAGGGCACATTATGCTACTGGGGTGGATTGTTATATTACCCTCAGGCGTTCGGACTTTAACTCTGTTTTGTTTGTTTGGATTTCGAGAGTTTGTCCATCTAAAATAAGAAAAGATGATAAAAAAAAACAACAATATTATTTGTCCAATATTTGGATAAACACTGATGTGGAAGTTACATCCTATTATAGACTGTGTTGATAGAAAAATTTCGTAGAGGATTGGGTAATAACGTTTTGGAAACTTGAAATTGAGAACCTCCTCCATTTTTGAAGTCGTTTAATAAGTATCCACAACATGGGTAAATACAACCAATATACTGAAAACTTATCGCTGTTATTATATAAAACCTAATAAACTGTAAATGTGACGCAAAGAAGTTGTGATTATTAAGCACAAACCACAATGCAAGTGAAACTGTTATATATTTAAAAAAAGTCCTTCTTCAGCTGGGAATCGAACCTGGGCCGCCCGAGGAGTAGGCAAGCTTTCTACCACTGTATCACCGATGCTTGTTAATAAGGTCTGAATTTTTAATAACAATTAAAAATGACCAAAATATTTGGGAAAATAAAAAGATTAACAGTTTTAGAAAACGATTACAAAAAAAAAACGAGCGAGACTTACAGTAGTCGCGTATGATGTGTAACATTTGAAACCTCACCTTATATTAGTAAAAAGAGAAATAAAATCTACTACAAAAGGAATAAGCCATTTGTACATTTTGTTCTTAAATCAAATCAAATAGCGCGCGCTTCCCAAACTTCCGTTCCACTTCACGTAATCGCTCCCACATGTTACACATCAATAAAAACGGTTGTAGTTTAGAAACTATCTAATAAATACAAAAAGTAACATTGCCCATTCATTTGATAAATATTTAGATAGCATACACACATACCTAGCCGTAGCGATGTTAGGGTACAAAGAGGCAGCGACAACCGCCTTGAACAAGCTCAATTTGTCGGCATTCCTATTCTCCCAAGCTGATTGCAGGCTACCAGAGTTCAAGAAGCCCATCTGTCTCAAGTTATCTCCTATCTGGTTCTTCATATCGGAAAGCAGTTCCATAGTATTTGAGGACAGAAAGTTTGCGTAAGCATAGTTTCGTCTTTTGTGTGGAGCGCAACGTTCCCATTGGATTAACGCTTCCGATACAGCGACTTGGTCACTTGGCTCACCGAGCGCCAATCGACGTTTAGCCGCTTTAACTTCGTCCTCCTTGTCTATGGATTAATGAATCTATTTAGTATGAAATCTTGCTTTCATTATTCCAGACTTTAGCCGCTTTACTAATAAACGAAGACAAGCTTGGATAGAGGAGCTCGATGGCGCAAGTGGTTAGCGCGTTCGGCTGCGATCGTTGAACTTAAGCAACTTTCGCAGTGGTCGGTCATTGGATAGGTGACCAAAAATTACTATCTTGAGCTCCTCCGTGCTTCGGAAGGCACGTTAAGCCGTTGGTCCCGGCTGCATCTGCAGTCGTTCGCACCCACCAATCCGCACTGGGCCCGCGTGGTGGGTCATGGCCCAATCTCCCTATTCCATCCATAGGGAAGGCCTGTGCCCCAGCAGTGGGGACATTAATAGGCTGATGATGATGAAGCTTGGATTAGTTACTCCATGTTTTGTCTCTCTCTATTGAATGACAAATGGCATTTTCTAGTAACTAGTCTAGGCTTAATCCTTGATTATTAATACGTATGGGGGTATGCGAGTATTTTAAGCACAGAACAGAGAAAGAGGTTAGAAGGGTGATCGGATATCGTTTGTACGGTAACTGATGTCGCCGGCTCGCCCCCATTACACTTCCACCTAATAAATAATAACCAATCAAACGCGACATCAAACAATCGAACCAATCAGCGCTTACACCCGAGAGCAACGACGCAATCAGAAGCAAGTTTTAGTCAAGTTATGAGCATTTGCTCACACATAACTATGGCGCGCCTGCCCCGCCCTTCTAACCTCTTTCTGTGTTCTTTGGTTTTAATAGAAATGAAAACTCTTTTCGTTTAAAGTTCACTCGTACCTTATCTCGAGTGCTTAAGATCTTGCATCTCATAGTTATACTATGTATTGCACTATACTAAAGACTGGAATGAAAACCGGTCTTAATTCTAGTGAAAATATTTCTTAGGGAAATTCTTAGACAAAATATCTGCCCAGTAATTTATTATACTTACACAATCAATAAACTGCCATCTAAAATAACAAACAAAGGTGTCGATTCTGGCATGATTCTCTAAACCTTAACTTAATTTTGATAACAGTGGTATTGATTCTGGCATGATTTGATGATGATGATGTATCCTCGTCATTCTCTATACAAAGTGAAGAGACCGATGATAAATTTATTTTGAAGTTAAGAGAATCATGCCAAAATCGATACCATTGCGTGATTTTTTAGTGTATCCGTATTATATGACTATATCTGATGCATATCATTTATTTTAATACATCACCCAGTAACCTAAAGAATACTGACCTATGATTAGAAGGAACGGGTCCTTGAAGCTCCATACAGCTGCGACACTGGCAGCCCTATCGAGGCATCCAAATAGGGCTCCGAATAATACAAGTTTACCGGCTGCTGGATGCAGCGGCAATCTTGCCAGATGCCAACCCAAAGGTGTTAAGGTTTCATTATCATCTAATGCTCCACACCTAATAATATAAAGAAATAATGGTGAGGAAAATTAGGTATATAAAACTTATGAAAGGAAAACAGAAGACCGCACGGTGTAAAAATCACTTGTTCTGTAGTGGATAATTTCACCAATTCCATGTGGTAGATTCATACAAAAAGTTAGAAGGAATACTATGTCCCCCTTATTAATAAACGAAGACTAAGCTTGGATTAGTTACTCTATGTTTTGTCTGTTAATTGAATGGCCCTTGAGAGCTATGATCTTATCACGTAGGGCGGCCCCCAACAAGGTGGACTGCCGACATCGTCAAACGTGCTGGGAGCGGCTGGATGCGGATAGCGCAGGACCGCGCATTGTGGCGTTCTATGGGGGAGGCCTATGTCCAGCAGTGGACGGAGAAAGGCTGATGGATGGATGGAGAGCTATGAACAAACCACGGCGTAACTAGTCGGAGCTTATTCCTCGTTTATTAATAAGGGGTGTTTAGCACATTAAAAAGTGCCTTATGCCTAGCACATTAGAACTAGGAGTCTGGAGAAGTACCCTCGATTAAAGAAGACTATGTTCAAAGTACACAAAGTTCTGCAGTAGATGACAGATCTACGGGGTTGGTGTGGGATCAGAATTCAAACAATGGCAGATGGCATAGCATTTTTTAGTAATTTATTGTGTAAAAGTTTAGCGGGAATTCTGCGAAGATATTACAAGAACATTTAAAACTTACCGTTGCAGGTGCGTAACTGCTCGCTCAATAGTGGCTTCCGAAGGAGAATCCGGGACATTCTGCAAAGCGTCCGCCGCTTTGCCTAGCCTGAGCCTCTTTATAGTAAGCACCGGTTCTAACAGATTGCTTCTCTGCAGTTCGGGCAGTAAGCGCTCTTCGAGTACGCTCGCTCGATATGACGACACCAGGTGGTAGCATATGCCGGGCTGGCATCGACCGGCGCGACCGCGCCTAAGCAATGGTGAATCTTTAGTGAATAGTCACTATCACTACATAGTATAAAGCAAAGTCGCTTCCCTCTATCTGTCTGTCCCTATGTATGCTTAGATCTTTAAATATAAATAACGCAATGAGAAATGTTTATGTGTATAATAATATATGCATAATATAGTAGAGAAACACAATTTTAGAGGTTTTTAATTTAAGATCGTAGATAAACAATTTTTTTTTGCGCTTACATTGCAAACGCTGGCTGAACCCTAGGAGATGGATCAAAATAATATACTATAGTATTGTACATCTTAAAAAGGTCTACAAAAAAGTCGGCGATGGTATTGTTGTTGTTTATTTATTTTTATTTATATATTTAGTATCAACATTGCACCCGTACAAAGCCGGGGCGGGTCGCTAATATAAAATAAAGTCACTCCCGCTGTACGCTTAGACTTTTAACTAAGCAACGTGATTTCCGTTATCGCAGTTTTCAAAAATGATTCAGGATAAGATAACTATGATTCAAGAGACCAAACGGTTCGGAACTCCTTGGGGGAGGCCTATGTCCAACATTGAGCGTTTCTCGGCTGATATGAATGATGATTCAAGGGGAAGATTTAAAGGTATGTATAATATATACTCTAAAACAAAAGCTATAGTCTTCACCGAAGCGAAGCGAGAACGTGTAATCTGTAACGCGATATAATGTGTAATTATACATCAAGTATATTTTTTTTACATAAATACTTATATGAAACTATTTAGACATATTACATAAATTGACAACATATATAATACATAGTAGGAGGACTAAAACATACCTTTGCCGTAAATTTGCTTGGGAAACCCATTCAGTCTTGAGTGTCGTAAAATAGTGTTCTACATTCAATCCACTATACTTTATTTTACCGCAGTCAATCACATAGACAATGTCATCTATTGTTATGGAAGTCTCTGCTATGTTGGTAGCCACTATGATTTTTCTTATATGACTAGGAGGTGTCTCAAATATTCTGTTTTGTTCTAAAGATGGTAGTTTTGAATGCAACGGATGCACTTCACATTTTGTGCCAAGATATGATTCATTATCTTGTATAACTCTTAGTAGTTTTGTTATTTCACCAATGCCGGGAAGAAACACTAATATGGCGCCAGGTGGGCCACGGCAAATATATTTTATTACTTCAAATATTAAATCTATGTTTAATTCCTCTATTCTATGATCTTGTAGTGTTTGGTATACAACTCGGTCAAGATTTTTCTTTTTGGATTCCAACCATGGTGCTAAAAGTAAACAATTTTTTTATGACTTTTAGAGTGTAATATTTTATAATTTTCTATTTTACAGACCAGTTATTAAAACCAAACAATAACAATGTCTAGCATTAGGCGAGGGAAGATCTAATGGGCATAGGCGTGACATGTTTGGCTTTTTGCGGTCGCGTCCGGCCAAATATGTACGTGTTTGGCCTGTCTGGATTTTGTCAGGCTTTTTGTCAGAGTGGCGATTCATACGACGATGGGCTGACGAGCGTCCGAGCGGACAAGAGAGCAAACTGTTGGCGCGCGCGGCGCGTGACGTGAGCCGTGAAAAGAAAATATGTCCGACTTTTAGGGCAAAATGTCAGGCCTTATATAGTGCGCAGTCCGGCCTTTGCATTTTATGTCCTGGCAAACCTAAATGGTCACAAAAACTTTATTAACATTAAATCTAACCATTGTTAACTTGATTTCTGTTGATATCTCCATCATTCTTCTTTTAAACAAATAAAAGAAGCAACATAACCGGTCCACCAACCTCAGAGATATGTGCGAAAACAACAATTAAAATATATACATAATGACGAATTTAGAACCTCCACCACTTTGAAGCCAGTTAAAAATGTACAAAATTATTTATAAAACAATAGGTATGATAATCTCTGAATAATGGCTATAAATCTTTATATATATAATTCTTCTGTGAGTGTGTATGTCACTGAACTTCTCTTAAACGACTGGACCGATTTTGATGAATTTTTTTGTGTGTGTTCAAGGGGATCTGAGAATGGTTTAGATTCACAATTTTGTCCGCTGGACAACCCCTATTTTTTTAGGGCGGTACGAAGTTCGCCGGGTCAGCTAGTAACTAATATAATTCCACAAAACGTACTTACCTATTTCAGCTCTATACTTAATAGCTTTCTCCATTTCAGTTGCTGCTGCACCCCTATTCCTCCATCCTCCATGTTTAAATGGCCTTTGACCACCACCTTTGGGTTGTTGAGATTCTTTCAGTTGGAATTTTGTTAAATGTAGTATTTCTTCAAGGTATATATCTTTCACTGGGTAAGCTAATCCTTCAATGTGCATCATTGGACAGTTATTAAAATATGTAGAGAGTTTATCTGCATCTATTGTGGCACTCATTAATATTAGTTTCATATCCTTCCGCTTTTGTAGCACCTTTTGTAGCAAGACAAAAATAATACTTCAGATTTGAATGTAGTGGTTTTTGAGCAACTAGAGGCAGCCCGTGAATTCTTTTTAAAATATTTTTTCAGGTTAATATAGCCACTCACAACCACAGAACACAGAGAGGTGATCATAGACTGTATGTACGGGAACCGATGTCGCCGGCTCGCCCCCACTACAATTCCACCTAATGGATAATAGCCAATCAAGCAAAGCGACATCAAACAATCAGCGCTGATACTTGAGAGCTACGACGCAATCAGAACCAAGTTTTTGTCAAATTATGAGCAACGTGACTCTCCATTCATAAAATAATTTTTAAAATCGGTACATCAAGAGATTATACCCTGCAACCTCATAAATATTAGTATAGATGAAACAAAAGGAAACTCACCTGTTTCAACATACACATAGCAAAGTCTATGTGGCAGTCTCTTTCATGGACCTCATCTAATATTATATGACTGTAGTCTGACAAACTTTGGTTAACCTCTAAATCAACCAACAACACACCGGTGGTACAAAACATCATACTACCACGGGCTCTCGCATCTACTCTGAAAACATAAAAAACTGACTGTTCTGTTTACCAATGTTAAAGGGTAATTGTAATCAAGGGCGGATCCGGGGGATGGGGGGTCATGGAGGTCATGACCCTGGGCTGGGTCCATCTGTACCCACTGTGACTTGACTATATGAACCCCCCCCCCCCCCCCCCTGGCGCCAAAGCTGGATCCGACCTTGATTGTAATAGCAGAATGAAACCAGTCACAATTTTAACATGGGTTTATAGAACTCATTTTCACTGGCTTGAAAAAAAGCTTCTGCTGTTTGGAGCTGTTTGTTGGGTTGGAGTTCTGCTTTCCGCTGAATACACCTTTTGTGATTTTCAACTTTGCTTTTACAAAGTTATTAAAAAAGAAAATAATAAAAGTTACAAAGTAATTATCCTACTTTTATAATTTGCCGAGTGAAAGATTCTTTAAAGCAATTTCTCATTATAATTATGTTACGGTGCTAACTTTTCTAATCTCACGGCATATCCTACGGAAACACCCATGGCTTCTGCTCTCTCACTGGCAACTCGTGCAGCTAGCGAGGAAGCTGCAATACGTCTTGGTTGTGTGATTAACAGTTTTACATTTGCTCCTTTCTTGTTCATGATAGCATCATCTAGTATTATTTGAGGAACCTGGAATAATTTTACTATGTGCATGATACAATTTAATAACATTTGATTTATTTAATAATTTTGAAATTATTTGTAATATATTATTAACCTGCGTTGATTTCCCACAACCAGTTTCACCACTGATTACTACTACTTGATTATTATTTAAAATACTTAATAGTTGTTCAGACTTTTTATAAGTTGGCAGTGTCTCTCTGAATTTCTTCATTTTGAGATATTGTGATTTCATAAGTCTATCCATATGCTCTTCATAATAAATAATATTTAAATTGGCTATATCATCATTTGATTTTGTTATATTGATACCTTTGGATAAACATTCTTCTAATTTTTCATTAAAAGTACCAGTTATGATGTCAATGTATCCATATTTAAAGTCACCAGCACCCCTAAGTGATAAAATTCGATTTCCTGTTCCGTATTCTAGAAGTTCTTCTGATTGTTTTACTGATATGAAATCAGGAGCTTGTGATGGTCCTGCATCACTTGCGAATGGATCAGTTTTTGTAAGTTTTAGAGATGGTTCTATGACTTCAGCATCATCAAGGCTTACTGTTTTAATAACTTTTGTACTATCATTTTTTTCTGGATATAGTACTGAGATCATTTTTGGGCATATTCTTATATTATTCTTCACAGCTATTATTGCTATAGATTCTAGATCTTTTATTAATTTGGTAATTACAGGTTTAGGTATTCTAAGAGTTATCTGAAAATATTAAATTTATACTATGATTATGAACAAAATTGCAGTATCTTTGGAATTGCTTAAATATGTGAGTTGAAGGGGATTGTAGAAAGCAAAAGTAAATTACAATTAATAAATAAAATAAACAGATCTTTCTATCACTTACAGCAATAAGCCTAGCCCCAAGGTAGGACTGTGTTATGGGATATTTAGGTAATAGATAGAAATATATAAACTGCAGTGCATGAGGTGCAAATACATAAACAAATATTGTACTAATGGGACTGGAACCTGGTTACATAATTAGACCCCCCATTGTTGGTTCAATTACAATGTAGCTGGAGACAAAATACCGTTTGTTCAAGGTAGTCGTTTTCGTTGATTTAAAACAACAAATAACGTTTGCCTACTTGTTCTGGCTAAGAACTTCGAAAAAAACCTGGTAAGCCTGGCTGCTGGGCTCAGTGAGTACATACCGCTTTGACTTTATCGGCCTTTCCGTTCTTTTTTTGTAAATCTCGGTAGAATAAACCAATCTCCCGACCTCTTAGCCCTCGTGGTGGCATAGGCTTCCTGAACCTATTGGTATTCCAGCTAGATGAAGCACCATCATTATCACGTCTATGTCTTTTCCAGTTATCTCCTCGTCGGGACATTCCAATAAAAAAATATTTGGTTAAAATTAGATACGAAGTTTTACCAAAAAAATTCAAGATTAGATCTTGTCGAAGTTCAAAAGCTTACCTTTTGTCAAATTTGACATAGTAGTATATTTTTTTTTTTATATCTTTTTTCCCATCTTGGGAAAGGCAAAGGCAGAGCCATGCAGCCATAGTCTTCATTTAAAGGATTTTTTTTGTTTCTTTTTTTCTATAAGGCCGAAGCCACTTCTTTAATCATAAGATATTTGTCCTAAATAGTCTTTCTAATCCATTTTCAGTTTAGGTACTTATTGTTTCCCCCAAATTTTCAAATCCGATTTTGAATCTTCTTTCAATTTGAATCTTCTTTCTTTCAATCTTATTTGTTTAAAGTCATGAAATTTTTTAAAGTTCCATATCTATGGAAACTTTAAAAAATTTCATGACTTTAAACAAATAAGATTGAAAAATTGAAGACTATGGCTGCATGGCTCTGCCTTTGCCTTTCCCAAGATGGGAAAAAAGATATAAAAAAAAAAAATATACTACTATGTCAAATTTGACAAAAGGTAAGCTTTTGAACTTCGACAAGATCTAATCTTGAATTTTTTTGGTAAAACTTCGTATCTAATTTTAACCAAATATTTTTTTATTGGAATGTCCCGACGAGGAGATAACTGGAAAAGACATAGACGTGATAATGATGGTGCTTCATCTAGCTGGAATACCAATAGGTTCAGGAAGCCTATGCCACCACGAGGGCTAAGAGGTCGGGAGATTGGTTTATTCTACCGAGATTTACAAAAAAAGAACGGAAAGGCCGATAAAGTCAAAGCGGTATGTACTCACTGAGCCCAGCAGCCAGGCTTACCAGGTTTTTTTCGAAGTTCTTAGCCAGAACAAGTAGGCAAACGTTATTTGTTGTTTTAAATCAACGAAAACGACTACCTTGAACAAACGGTATTTTGTCTCCAGCTACATTGTAATTGAACCAACAATGGGGGGTCTAATTATGTAACCAGGTTCCAGTCCCATTAGTACAATATTTGTTTATGTATTTGCACCTCATGCACTGCAGTTTATATATTTCTATCTATTACCTAAATATCCCATAACACAGTCCTACCTTGGGGCTAGGCTTATTGCTGTAAGTGATAGAAAGATCTGTTTATTTTATTTATTAATTGTAATTTACTTTTGCTTTCTACAATCCCCTTCAACTCACATATTTAAGCAATTCCAAAGATACTGCAATTTTGTTCATAATCATAGTATAAATTTAATATTTTCAGATAACTCTTAGAATACCTAAACCTGTAATTACCAAATTAATAAAAGATCTAGAATCTATAGCAATAATAGCTGTGAAGAATAATATAAGAATATGCCCAAAAATGATCTCAGTACTATATCCAGAAAAAAATGATAGTACAAAAGTTATTAAAACAGTAAGCCTTGATGATGCTGAAGTCATAGAACCATCTCTAAAACTTACAAAAACTGATCCATTCGCAAGTGATGCAGGACCATCACAAGCTCCTGATTTCATATCAGTAAAACAATCAGAAGAACTTCTAGAATACGGAACAGGAAATCGAATTTTATCACTTAGGGGTGCTGGTGACTTTAAATATGGATACATTGACATCATAACTGGTACTTTTAATGAAAAATTAGAAGAATGTTTATCCAAAGGTATCAATATAACAAAATCAAATGATGATATAGCCAATTTAAATATTATTTATTATGAAGAGCATATGGATAGACTTATGAAATCACAATATCTCAAAATGAAGAAATTCAGAGAGACACTGCCAACTTATAAAAAGTCTGAACAACTATTAAGTATTTTAAATAATAATCAAGTAGTAGTAATCAGTGGTGAAACTGGTTGTGGGAAATCAACGCAGGTTAATAATATATTACAAATAATTTCAAAATTATTAAATAAATCAAATGTTATTAAATTGTATCATGCACATAGTAAAATTATTCCAGGTTCCTCAAATAATACTAGATGATGCTATCATGAACAAGAAAGGAGCAAATGTAAAACTGTTAATCACACAACCAAGACGTATTGCAGCTTCCTCGCTAGCTGCACGAGTTGCCAGTGAGAGAGCAGAAGCCATGGGTGTTTCCGTAGGATATGCCGTGAGATTAGAAAAGTTAGCACCGTAACATAATTATAATGAGAAATTGCTTTAAAGAATCTTTCACTCGGCAAATTATAAAAGTAGGATAATTACTTTGTAACTTTTATTATTTTCTTTTTTAATAACTTTGTAAAAGCAAAGTTGAAAATCACAAAAGGTGTATTCAGCGGAAAGCAGAACTCCAACCCAACAAACAGCTCCAAACAGCAGAAGCTTTTTTTCAAGCCAGTGAAAATGAGTTCTATAAACCCATGTTAAAATTGTGACTGGTTTCATTCTGCTATTACAATCAAGGTCGGATCCAGCTTTGGCGCCAGGGGGGGGGGGGGGGGGTTCATATAGTCAAGTCACAGTGGGTACAGATGGACCCAGCCCAGGGTCATGACCTCCATGACCCCCCATCCCCCGGATCCGCCCTTGATTACAATTACCCTTTAACATTGGTAAACAGAACAGTCAGTTTTTTATGTTTTCAGAGTAGATGCGAGAGCCCGTGGTAGTATGATGTTTTGTACCACCGGTGTGTTGTTGGTTGATTTAGAGGTTAACCAAAGTTTGTCAGACTACAGTCATATAATATTAGATGAGGTCCATGAAAGAGACTGCCACATGACATTCCAATAAAAAAATATTTGGTTAAAATTAGATACGAAGTTTTACCAAAAAAATTCAAGATTAGATCTTGTCGAAGTTCAAAAGCTTACCTTTTGTCAAATTTGACATAGTAGTATATTTTTTTTTTTTATATCTTTTTTCCCATCTTGGGAAAGGCAAAGGCAGAGCCATGCAGCCATAGTCTTCATTTAAAGGATTTTTTTTGTTTCTTTTTTTCTATAAGGCCGAAGCCACTTCTTTAATCATAAGATATTTGTCCTAAATAGTCTTTCTAATCCATTTTCAGTTTAGGTACTTATTGTTTCCCCCAAATTTTCAAATCCGATTTTGAATCTTCTTTCAATTTGAATCTTCTTTCTTTCAATCTTATTTGTTTAAAGTCATGAAATTTTTTAAAGTTCCATATCTATGGAAACTAAAAAAATATATAGATATTTGTATGATTTTGGATTCATAACAATGTCTTGAATGTCGCGCGGGATTTCATTATTAGTTTTATATAATTTAATTAAATTGTCAGCTAAAACAAGTCTTTGTATATTATATGCTGTACATTCAAAAAATATATGGTTTAGTGTTTGATCTTTATTTAAATTACAGTTTGTGCATAACGGAGATGTAATTATATTCATTCTATATAAATGTGAATTAAAACGTCCATGTCCAATTCTCAAGCGTGTGATGGTCGTATAAAATTTCCGACTATGGTATTCTTTAGATTTTGTAAACCATGGATGTTGACCAATTACATTATTAATTTTATGATACCATTTTCCTTTTATTACTAGCGTTTGATGCCAATTAATCAACCAATCTTGTTTTAACAAAAGTTTTAGTTTGGGTAATAAATCTGAAAAAGGTATGGCAACATTTTTAAAGTCAACGTCATCATTGCTTCGATTTAAAATGGTTCTGGCTAACCATATCTAAATAGTCTGTGTGGCTAACGTATCAGCTTTCTCATTTCCTATGACTCCTATGTGCGATGGAACCCACATTAAAACTATTTGTACATTGAGGACTTTAAGTTTGTGGTACATTTTTTTAATATCATGTAAAATAAAATTACTTCCAGAGTCAAATCTATTGTTTCGCAAAGCTTGTAAACAACTCATGCTGTCTGTTAACACCAACCATTGAGTGCACTCCTGAATATTTTCCTCTATAAACTCCAATGCAGAAAGAATTGCAAGACACTCCGCAGAAAATATGCTCATCTGGCTTGGAAGTTTGTACCCTAGACCCGTTTTCAAATGAGGTATGTAAATCGCCATTGAAACATTATCATCATTCTTGGAACCGTCTGTATAAATATGTTTATGATTGGAAAACTTATCAATCTTTTTGTAAACTTCTTCTTTAAATTTCAAGTCGGGCGATATATGGATGCTTATGTCACAGAAATGCATATCATAAGTTTCTTTGTAACATATCCAATTATGCTCAGTTTTATTAATGTTGTACTGCTGGTTGTAATTAATATATTCTGAGAAGTCATGAAGCAAATAAGGGATCCTAGACATATTAGTTGGAGAGTATATTCCATATAGAAAGTTATTTTTTTTAATTAATGGATGGGAATGAAATGACAGTAATTTAATCAAAAACTTTGATTTTAAAAATTTAAATCTTAATTGAAGTGGAGGTGTATTGCATTCTACTTCCAGAGAGTTGATAGGAGAGGTTTTCATAGCACCCGTTATGCATCTAAGATTATGATTCTGCAAGACTTCTAATTTTCTTACTAATTGAGAATCAGATCCAAAACATAAAAATCCATATTCAAAGTGACTTCTAACAATTGACTTGTATAACATCAATAATATTTTAGGGTCAATTTTTGATAAACATTTTATGACATTGTAGGCTTTGTAAGCTTTCCCCAAAAGATATTCTACATATTTTTTCCATGAAAGATTATTGGTGAAAATAACACCCAAAAATTTTACTTCACTCTCTACAGGGACAATGACATTATTATATACAATATCAACATTTGTATCACAATCACCAAATACAACTGTTTTAGATTTGTCAGGGCTAATATCTAAATTTAAATAACTGAAATATTCATTTAATTTTAAAAGTGCTCTATTTATAGTAGAGGTTACCTGTTGAATATCAGAACCTGAATGGTAAATGACCAAGTCATCAGCAAATTGCAAGTTTTTTACTTGTGATCCTAAAATGATGTTTAGTTTGTGTACATAAAGATTGTAAAACAATGGAGATAGAATTCCTCCTTGACAGACACCTTTATATGAATAGCGTGGTCCTATTAATTGATTATTAGACTTGACATAAACCTCACGACCATGCAAAAAATTAAAAATCCACATAACTACTTTTTC